AATAAAACTGTTGTTGTTAGTCCAATGGTTATTTGTAGCTAGATGTTCGTATCTTTTGATGATGGCTTCGTACAATTTTTTGATGGGTATTGAAATGTTAAGTATCGATGCTACTTGTGCGTCAAGACTTTGTTGATTTCTGAATGTAGAGGGGCTGGTTTTGTGTGACTAGTAATGGATACTTGTTGTTGTTCTTTGGCTAGGAACTATTGTTTGAAAGATAGTATAATATTAATTAATTCTAGATATTTGTTAGAAATGTTTGGTAGAAAGTATCAAGCCAATAGTTTGTTTGCAATAAATTCTCGATGTCTATTGCAGGATATGAGGTCTGCGTCGATGTTGGCAACCCCTGGAATATGTTCAATCTTTATGGAGAAACTCCCTTGCATCTGAATTCTGTACATATTAGCAATAATATTATTTATATGGAGTTTTTGCAATATTTCGCATAATAAGCCTGGGTGTTGGGAAGGTTGTCAGTCCAAATAATCAGTTTCTTTCTTTGCCACATCAGAGCAAATGTTCGAATTGTGATAAGAGTAGTAAGTAATTCTCGAATCTGAATATTGATCGATATTAAGTTGATCGATTGGGACCAGGTAAATGCTGTAAAGTGGTTTTGGTATATAGCACTGCCACCTATATCCGATGCATTTGTAAAGAGGTTTATTGTATGTGGCTAGGACCAGTTTCGATCTTGAAATAGCTGGATGCCAGGCTAGTTATTTATTGTTTTGTGCCACTATTGGATGTTAGAGACCATAGGTTGGGTTATCTGGATGTGGTATTTAGAATTATTAGATATGTTTTGAGCGAAGATAAAACGTTATACGTATAAGCACTCTTGTGAGATTATTTGACATACCCAAATAGGCATTCCTACCAGGGATTGTAATTCTTTCTGCATACAGAATTTTTTAGAAGCTCATTGGTTTAACAAAATATTAAGCTTTTCGCATTTAGAAATTGTGATTGATGCTGTCATGGTTGTCATATCTAGTGTTATTCCAAGAAAAGTGATCATGGCAGCAGGTTTTTCTATTTTTTTTTTTTTGTAAGGGATGTTTATTGTGTCAAGGATATGAATAAATTGGTTCAATTCTCGTGACCCATCTGAAGGAAATATGATGAGAAAATTATCAACATAATGAATTATGGCTGATATTTCTTGTTGGTGTGCAATTCAGGTTAGAACATCAGCAAGGCAACAAAAAATGCTACTGGAGGCTTGATTCCCAAAGGCGAGGACTTTGTCAAAGTATATATTGTCTTCGTGTTGGATGCCTGTAAGATCTGATCTACAGGATGAACAGGAAGTATCCAATATGCGTTCTTGATGTCTATCTTGGACAGAGTGCAACCTTTGCCAAAATGATTTATCTATCGAATTGCGTGACTGATATTCTTGTATTTTGTGGCAAATTTGCATCTGTCAATTCTGTCATTTATGCTGTTATTTGGTGGGGATGATAAGTGGGAAATAATTTGATATACAGTGAGATTTGTGCCTTTCTTTTCAACCAGTCTGCAAGGATTGGTTTGGAATAAGTTGCATAGTGGGTTGTCTCTGTGAAAAGGACCACATATGCATTTGTTCACAATTTCGTTTGAAATATATGATGCAAAAGCATCAGGGGTAGTGCTAATTAATTGTAGACTATCCTGGATAAGTTTAATTCTGGATCTTTTAAAGTTGAATCTAAAACTGTTTCTAATTCTATTGATAAGGTAGTTGATAAGTGGGTAATTTGAGTAAGAAGATGTCAAGTATTGGAAAGCTATAAGGTTTATAGGCGTTTTTATATTAAAATGTTGCATGTCTAGCTGGGCTAATGACTTCAATTTGGTGTCTAATAGAGATAAATCTGTAGGAGGTGTTGCATATATAGTTTCATTTACTGATTGTAAAGTGGGGGCTTCATCCGTTGTAATATTATAGGATAATTTAAATTGTGATATATGTTGCTAATAAGCATCATTCTTGGGAAAGGCTATTTCAAGAGAGTGGTGGATTTGGTTAACAAAATTCTTTTTCTTTCTTTTTTTTTTTTTTTTTATATATATATACATTTATATATATTTCTCACAAGAGAATTGTTATTGAGAAAAGATAGAGTGCTGATGCTAATATGACGCTTAATGGAATATATGTACATAAATATAATGCTCATTACTATTATTAGTTATAAGCTGGTATATATATATATATATATTTTTGTACTAAATTATGTTGTTTGTTCTAAATGTTGAGCAGTTATGTGGATTATACATTGTCCCTTCTTTTCTCTCTTTTTTTTTTTGCTACTATTAGTGTTTTGTATCTGGTTTGTGGATTGCTTGTTCGATGTGGAAGTGTTGTAAAAACATCATTGAGGATGCCCAGTTTTTTTGCAAGTTAAGCATGCGTGGACATGCTAGCAATTAGAATCTTCTAGGCAACCTTTCCAATTCCAATTAATGCATATTTGTCTTCCATCAGGCCAATTTGTATCTAGCTTGTTGGTATTGCATTGAAAGTTTGTGTGGTTTTCTTCGTAGTGAAGATGTCAAAATTATTGCCTTCAGCTTCGATGTCATGATCCAGTAATGTTTTGTCATGATCTATCATGAGGTGTAACCTTCTGTTTTCATCATAGGCAACCATTGCTGCAAACTCTTGCCTTATACGCAGGGTGTTAATGTGATCGCGATAAAAGTTTAATTCTTGTTCTCTGATGTTGTATATGACTAGTATAGCATCTATGTATGACTTGAATGCAAGAAGCCACTCTGCTATATTGTTAAAAGTGTGGGATCATGTACGTTTTCAAATAGAAATAACTCCCCTTCTGTGGTCTGAAGTGTTTGTTCATCGTCATTGTGCCTGAAGTTTGCTTTTAGATTGTTGTAGGCAAATTTTTGTAGATCAATTAAGGACCCGAATGTGATAGCCTTCCATAGCTGTTGGGATAAACTTGGCTTGTTTGGGAGCATTTCGATAATTTTTTGGCCCTCTGACCAGTTAAGAACCCACCATAGATGTATTTTTTCAATATTGGTAGTGTAAGTATTGTCAATTCTGTATGTAGGTGGAAAATTGTTGATATATAAATAGTTGAGAGTGGGGTACTTTCACATTGTTGTTTTAACCTTTATGGCACCATTATGTGTTGGGTTGCTTTGATAATTGTTGCTTTCCAGGTTGTATAATTCGCGTTGTGTGTTGGGAGCATTAATAATAAGATTGTTAAGAATAGGTGTTAGGGGACAATTACCTTGGTGATTATAATTGCTTTCTATGTTTTGGTTGTCAGTTTGTAGTGGCACTGTTGAATTAAAATCGTGGTTGTGCTAGTTATGGAAGAACTACTATGAGTAGAAGTCATGTCAGGTTGGGTCTTTGTCTCTTGATGGTTTCTGCAAGATTCGATTCTTTCATTTAATTTGTTAATTAGATCTATTTGTATAGCTATGTTTTGATTGATATATGCTTTAATTGTGTTAATTATTGTACTTGATGATGCCTAACATGCAGAGTTAATGTATACTTTAGTGTTATCATCTATCTTGGAGAGATCAATAGACTGTACAGAATGGTTGATATTCATTGTACTATTAGAACTTGGGTTTGTATTGCTTTTAGATATATTTTATTTTTTTTTTTAATATTATTGCAGTAAAATTTTTTAACGATTGATTTAGAGTTCAGCCACACTGTGGTCGAGGTATTTATAGATGTTGCATTCTGTATTACCCCTTTGTGGTTGGTAGTAGTGCTTGGATTCAAATACTAAACCGGATATCTAGATAGATATCCTATTTCATTTTTTCTAATCCGAATTTATATTCAGATATGTATTAGTTATCTGGGTTATAATCCAGATTGTATCTGGATTTACAGTTATTCTAAATTCTGGGAATCTAAAAAAATTTTCTCAAAGTTTTCCTGCTTTATTCGATAAATTATTTAACTCATTGAAAACTACATTGCTATCTCTAGACTGAAGGTTTGAAAATAGCAATATAGTTTTAGATAATTTTAATAAACAAAACAGAAAATATTCAGCAGATATCTAATTGGATATCCGGATAGTATCCTGTTTTATAGTCATTATTATAAATTCTTAGACATCTAAAAATTTTCCTGTTTTCTTAATCTTATTTGTTTCATCCAGTGAATTACCTAACTATCTGAAAACTACATCGCTATTTTTGAACCTTCAGCTTGGAGGCAGCTGGACAAAACAGAAAAGATGAGAAAATTTTAGGTTTCAAATTTAAAATTTAAACTTCTCTGATTGGCAGATATTGTTAGCATATAATATCCAGATAAAAAACCAAATTTATAACAACTAAAATAAAAATCTGAATTTATTATCCGCTTTACAAAACTAAAATCTGTTATCCTTTTTATCTGGATACATCCGGATATTGTAATCTGGATCCAAGTGCTAGTTGGTAGGTATGATGTAATATTTTTATATGCATGTGATGCAGGACCTGAGTCAGTGTTTAATCTTGTTTTTTGATAATTTGATTTACGTTAATTTTCATGAAGTATATTTATAATTACAGTATAATGAGGCTATATATATATTTATAATTTGATAGTCTTATTTCATACAATATTTTTATTATATAGGCTGTGTTCTGCAAAAAGAGGGGAAATCAACATTTAGATTTAATCAAGAAAATCACGTTTTTGTAGATCAAAACAATACCCGGTAACAAATATGTAGATCTATTTTTTAGAATATTATTTACATGTGCCATGTGATGTAAACAATTGTATAATACACGTGATTTTTAATTTTCCACTATGTAAAAATCGTGTCACACCGGGTACTGTATACAGTACTAGATAGTAAAGGTCATATGTAAACCTTAAAAAAATATTAAACTAGCATAATATAACTTTTGATTAGAATAATATAACTAGTTATGCTTCATTTAATGAGCTAATAAAAATTTTTTAGCCAAAATGTCGATTTCCCCTCTTTTTACTGAACAGCGCCTATATGTTAAGCATGCCAAAATTAGAAAAACTTCTGATGCAAATTGCTCAAGATTATCAAAGAAAAAAATACTTTCAAACTGAATTATGGAAATTACTTAATAATCAAATTTGCACAATTTCAAAAAAGAATATTGTGCATTATATCTAATTTTCTTAATTTGTTGCAATGTCAATAATTATAAAATAAAAAATTCAGATGATATTTGATATACTTGAAAATTTTATCAGAAACACAAGTACAGAACAATTACAACAAATAACAGAAGCCCAGGTCACTGAAATAATTAGGAATATTTATGATTCCTGGTTCATAATGAAGAAATCAACAAATTTCAATCCTTATTAATAGGGACCAAAATAAATTCTCACGTTATGTAATGGTTTTAATTATTATCTACTGCAGTACTGGGTTTGCATTTTGGTGAGTTAGATAAGTCACCTTCTATATTTCTCTATTTTATTTCTCATTCATTTTTATCTCTTAATTTCTCTGATAGGGGTTTCCAAGTCTTAGGTTCAAAATTACAAATTCTTTATCCTGAAAAAACTTCAGGTCAAAGCTGGTACAATCGCATGTTAGTCTTGATATCATTGGTCAAATAAATACAACTGGTTTTTAGAGCACAGAAATAGTATTTTGCTTAAAATATAGAGTACAATAGAACTTAAGTCCTCATATTTATTACAAGACTATGATGTAAAATTCAATAAAGTTATTACCTATAAGGACGAGTTCGATGGAGTTTTATAACTTCACCTACAAACAATATTAAGCACATTCTTAGAAATTGAAAACAATAATTAGCTTTAAAAAAGACTATAATAAATATTAAATGCTAAATTTTAATCAAATACAATACACAAATAAATTTTTACAATTCTTAGTTCATTGTTTTATCACAAATATATTAAGTTTATCAGCTTATTCAGATACTTTGATTTAGCCTAAGCTTCAATAATATAAACCGTATAAATTTATGACGCAGCTAGTTATATTTTTATCAAGTTTTGTTATGAGTATTATCGGATTTGATCAATAAACTAGATTGTCCATGTCCAATGTCCAAATCTAATACTGCTTACTATAGTTGTTAGACGAAACCTTTTTCGCATTATGACGAAAGAGAAACCTAAACCCAAAAGACGAAACTTCTGACGAAAGTCGAAACCCCAAATTCTTCTGACGAAAGACGAAACCTTAAGCTTAAAATGACGAAACTTAACACTCAAAAAAACGAAACCTTAGTGCTCCCGCTAAAAAAAATAAAAAAAAAAAAAACATAAAGAGAAATAAATGTTATTTTCTTTGAATTAACATTCCGAAATTACAGGTATGTCAGTAAAAATAAACCAGTTCATTTTTTCTTGGGTTGTTATAGACCGGTTGAAATAGCCTTGTCAAAAAGCCATAGTGCTCATGGAATAACACAAATAATGAATTAAAACATACTAGCACAAAATAAATTTGTAATATCACAAAGTAAGCACCAAGCGATTTTT